CCGCCGCTCCGGGCCGCCGCGGCGCTCGGGCCAGGCCCCACCCAGGACCCAGCGTGGAGCGGGGAAAGCCGAAGCCAGAGGTACGCGCAGGGCAGCAGGTGGAGGCGCGGGGCTCGGGGCGTGGGCCGGGGAACGGGGCCGGGGCCGGGCTGGGGGAGGGGTCGGGCCCAGGACCCGGCTCTTTGTCTCCCGGAACCCGATCGCGGGCAGCAAGGCTGCTCTTCCTCCTGGCAGGTGCTGGCATCCTCGGGGAGGATGGGGAGGGCACGCGCGCAGGTCTTGGGTAAGGGGAGCTCGAGGTTCCCCGAGAGTCACGGAGGTCCCTGATGGGCGACGGATAGGGGCGTGGATGTTGGTCTTGAAAGGGAGCTGAAGCAAGGGTGGGGGCGGGCAGGGCCTCTCAGCTTGGGGGAGAAGGCGGTGGGGGTGGGACTTGCGGACATCAGCGAGCAGCTGGGCTGCCGAGTGGGTGTGGGTGATGCGAGGGAAGCGGATCCAGGCACCCATGGGTGGCGATGCTGGGGGAGGAAGCAGCGAGGTGCCAAGATCCAGAGCCCAATAGGCACCGAAGCGGTCCAGGAGCTGGGGTGCTGATCCTTCGGTCTCCTCCTCAGGTGCGGGATGGACAAGAGGGACAAGGCAAAGGCAGGGGGCGCCGCGCGGGCGCCGGCTTCTCGCTCTCCCGGCCTCCCCATCCCTAGGCCCCCAGGGTCTCCTCGACCTCCTCCTCCAGTAACTGCCGCAGCCCTTCGAGTTCTGGGAGCAGCGGGAGCTACAGGACGAAGACCCCTGGCCGAACGAGGTGGGGGTGTCGGCGGAGCTGAGGCTGCTGCCCGAGCGGGACCATCGCGGAGCGCTGGCACAGGTCCCCGGAGCCCAGGTACCCAGCCTCCTTCCTCTGTCCCACCCCATCTTCCCGTCCCCCTTGCCTTCGAAGACACCCCTCCTTTCGGAGGCACTGTTGACTTGGCCTTCTCCCTGCAGCCTCCAGGCCCCCAGCGGCTGGGAGAGGGGAGCGGCCCCCTGCCAAGACCCCGGGCCAGGTCTCTGTCTCTAGCCCAGCGCGTGCCAGCAGGTAAGGCGGGAGCTCCCTCTCTCCTAGCTGAGCACCGCAATCTGGATTCTTAACGTTACACGTGAGCTAGGGGCTTGGCAACACTTGACCCTCACTGGCTGCAAACCGCGTGGAAGTCATTATTGGTCCGCAGAGAGGGTGAGCACCCCGTTTCAGATGGTAAAATGGTAACATGAAGCTGGTTCCTCTTGCCCCCAGGGCAGGCCCTGTTGGCCAGAAGGGACCACAGCCCCCAGGTGAGGAACCTCTTGCCAGAGGAAAGGCCGCAGAGGCGCCCAGGAAGAGTACACTGAGCTCTGGAACACGGAGAGGTAGGTGGCCTGGGGAGGAATAGGCTTCTTGGCGCTGAGCGGACGCCCCGGTGGTATCTGAGACCCTTTGGGCCTTTTGGTTTGTCTCCAGACGCTTCAGGGCCCACCTCAGGGGCCCCCTCCCCGGCCGCCACTCGTCGGACCAGGGCCACAGGGGCAGAGGTGGGACTCCCCCGACCAGCCTCGAGTGCCCAGCCGCGGCCGCAGACCGAGGTGCCCCGGAGATCCGTGAGCAATGCCGCAGAGCGCAGCAGTGCCACAGACTCGAGTCCGGCAGCCCGGAGGCGGCCCAGTGCGGGTGGGGCGCTCCAGAAGCCCGCCTCGCGTTCCCTGGGCTCCAGCGCTACCCCGCTGTCCTCGCCAGCCCGCTCTGGGGCCATGCTTCGTGGAACACCCCGGGCTCCCGCGCCGACGTCGCAGCCCAAGTCCAAAGCGCTGCAGGCTCTGCGCCCCGCACAGACCGCACCTCCCCGGAAGGAGGCAGCCTCCGCTCAGGGCCGGCTTTCTTCTTCTTTGGCCACGCCCTCTCCACCTGGTACCGCCACACGGCAGGCACCGTCTACCCTGCTCTCCGGCGCCCCGGTGCTGGCCACACTCCCTCCCTCTCCTCCGACCACGCCCCCTCCGCCTGCCTCCCTTCATCTTCAGGCCCCGCCCACCCCGCAGGCCCCGCCCCTTCCAAGAGTCCAGTCCCCTCCGCTAGCCTTGCAGAACCTCCCCTCCCCGCCGGCCACGCCCCCCTTGCAAGCTGTACCCACACAACCAGGCAGGTCCTTTCCCGAACAGGCATCCTTCCCTCCGCTGTCCAAGGCTGCACCCTCTCCATCACTTTCACCCCCGCTGCAGGATGCCCTCACCCAACCTTCTCCAGTTTTGCCACCTCTTCAGATCCCCCTGACCACACCTCCTTCCTCCACGCTACCTTCAGCCCCGTACTCTGTACAGGCCCCTCTTTCTCCACCAGTATCTCCGCAGAATCTGCCGTCTCCTCTGTCCACGCCCACTCGACCGGCTCTGTCCACTCTGACCACTCCCCTCCCCGTCAGTCCTTCCCTGTCTCCGCCCCCTCTTCGGACCACGCCCTCTAAAATGCCCACGCCTCCACTGCAAGACGCGCCTCCGGCCACATCCCCTGTGCGGGGTCCTCTGGCTTCTCCCTCTCCTCCGGCCTCTGCGCCCCCGCAGGCCCCTCCCGTGTCCCTGGCCACGCCCCCTCGCTGTGCCCTACCCTCTCTGACCTCACCACCCATACAGGGCGCGCCGCCTCTGCAGGCCACGCCTCCTTTGGCCTTGTCCCCTCGGCAGGCCACGCCTTCTTTCCTGCCCACGCCCCCTACGCAAAGCCAGCCTTCTCTGACCTCGCCTCTGCGGGCCTCTCCTCTCCCTACCACGTACCCTTTGCCCCTTCTCTCTCCCCCTGCCTCGCCTCCTCTGCAGCCTCTTCTCTCTCCTCCGGCCTTGCTGCCTCTGCAAGCCTCTCTATCTCCCTCTGCCTCGCCTCCCCGGTCGCCTTTAGCCTCTCGAGCTCCACTGGCCCCGCCTTCTCTAGACTCGCACCTGCCCTCTCCCCTGGCCACGCCTCCTTCACAGGTCTCGCCCCGGGCCTTGCCTTCCTTGCAGGCCCTGCCCTCTCCCATGCCCACGCCCCCGAAGCAGGCCCCGCCTTCTCTGGCATGTTCCTTTCATCAGGGCCCTCCCTCTCCCATGCTCACGCCCCCTCCTCAGGGCCTACTTCCGTCGCAGGCCCCGCCCTCTCCCCGGGCCACGCCTCCCCCACAGACCCCGCCCTCCTTGGCCTCGCCCCTCCCTCCCCTTACCTTGATCACCCCCCCTACACAGGTCCCATCTCTGGTCTTGCCCCCTCTGCAGGGCCCTTCCTCTCCTTTGGCCACACCCCCTCCGCGGGCCCCACCCCTTCTGTCCTTGCCTCCTCTGCAGGTCCCACCTCCCCCGGCCTCGCCCCTCCTGCAGGCCCCGCCCTCTCCCCCTGCCTCCCCGGTTCGGCAGACGCCCCGCCGCCCTCCGACACCTGGTCCAGATGCCTCCATCTCTGGCCCGCGGCTGACCCTAGCACTGGCCCCAGCTCCGCCGCCACCACCCTCGCGCAGCCCGTCCAGCACGCTGAGTGGTCCGGACCTGGCTGGGCACAGCAGCAGCGCGACGAGCACGCCCGAGGAGCTGCGCGGCTACGACAGCGGGCCGGAGGGCGGCGCCGCAGCCTCCCCGCCGGCCGACGCGGAGCTCGCTGCCTGCCACCCGGCTGCCTGGAGCCGAGGCCCTGCTCCGCCGCTGGCCATCCGCGGCGCTCCAGGTAGGGGTATTGCTGGGCCGGCCCGGGGCGGGGGCGGGGCTCGACGCAGAGGCGGAGCCCTGAAGGAAAGGGGCGGGACTAGGAAGGACCGGCTGGATTTGGGTAGGGCGCGGGGGCTAGAGTGAGGGCTGGAACGAGCCGCGGGGCGGAGGAAAGGGGCGGGGCGGAGGAAAGGGCCGGGGCGGAGCTTCCCTCCCTCGGCCCAGCCCTACGCCTCTCCCCGCAGGAGCTCCCCTGCCTTGGCCTCCGGCCGCAGGCCCCAGCTCTGCCGACGGCCTGTGCACCATCTACGAGGCTGAAGGGCCGGAGCCGGCGACCCCCACCCCGGGCGCGCTAGATCCGGGACCCGGGTCCAGCGCCGGCAGTGGGAAGACCGTGCCGGGTTCAGGGCCGGGCGCGCCCTCGCGGAGCCCGAAGCCCACGCCTCTGGGCGAGCTGCCGCTGGGGGCGCTGCAGGCGAGCGTCGTGCAGCACCTGCTGAGCCGGACGCTGCTGCTGGCGGCGGCCGAGGGCGCCGGGGGAGGCAGCGGCGGTGGGGCAGGCGGTGCGGGGGCTGTTGGAGTCTCGGGGGGCGCCCGAGCTCCGCTCAGCGATGCCGAACTGGGCCGCTGGGCCGAACTGCTGTCTCCTCTGGACGAATCCCGTGCTAGCATCACCTCAGTTACTAGCTTCTCCCCGGACGACGTGGCCTCCCCCCAGGGTGACTGGACCGTTGTGGAAGTGGAGACTTTCCACTGAGCTCCTGCCCGGCTTTGGGATCCACTCTCTTAGACTCCGCCCTCGTCCCGTGCAGCCTGACTCTCGTCCCATTGGTTTTAGCTCTTAGAGCTCTTCCAGTGTTTGGGCCCAGGCCCCAATCCCCCTCTGGCTGGGGTTTGGGACCCACCCACGCCCTCTGGCTCGGCCCCTTTGGCCTAGGACACGCCCCTGCCCTTCTAGCCTGGCCCCTTGTCCAGTGCAGTGTCTACTCCATGCCGCCCGCGTTTGCAATAAACCCGGCACACCGGAGCCTTCCTGTCTTCACTGTGGCTACCGGGGTCGGGCCTTGGGGACCACTCACGGGTCGAGGCTGCTGCTGAGCAGCGCTGGGGCCAGGCATGTACGTGTTGGAGCTCTGGCTGAACCGTGTGGTTTTTCTCCTAGCGAAGGGGAGCCAGGGGAGGTGAGGCTAGGTCTAGTTCTCTCTGTCCTTGGGCCTGGCCCCTTTGCACCCTGTGGCTAGGTTCTTGTTAGGCACCACGAAGTTCTGTGTGGGCACCCCTGACACACACCTCCCATCCTGGGCTCCAGAAGGGCCCTGCTAGCTGCACTCCAGAGAGCTGGGGGAAGGCGGCCACAAAGCTGCCTCAGTCAACCTGACATTTGTGGAAAACAATTTCCTCTGCAGTTCCCTCTGGTGCGGACCAGGCTGTCCTTGTACCCAGACTCTGCGACAAGCCCTAGGGGAGAGGCTGACTCCCTGACCTGCTGGGCAGCCCCCGTGAGGGGGCGGGCACACACACCCGCTTCCTCTAGGGCCCTGCCCCCACTTGGGTGGAATGAGTCGTCCTGTGGGAGCCAGAGGTGTAGGCAGTGACCACTGGGTCTCAGCGTTCAATCTGTGTGATGTTGGGACAGCAGGTGGGACCTGGCCGTCCTGGCGGGGAATGTGCCCCTATGCAGTTTTGTGGCGGCCATTGGGTAGCAGAGGGGCCCACTTCGTGGGACCACACGGGGGCGCTGCAGGGCTTGGCTGGTGTCTGCTGAGACCCGATTAAATTTCTGCTCCTAGGCAGCCTTCCTTTGCCATTTCTACCTCCGTCCTCCACACCCCAGCTCTGAGGAAGCCCAAAAAGGATGCTGCCTTTTGGGATCTCTTCTCCTGGGGATCTGCTGTCCCTAGTGTCTGCTGCACTTGCCTCCTGAGTGCCCCCCACACTGTGCTCCATCCGATGGTGCCTCTGTCCTTCAACCGCCTCTGGGCTGCCCACAACCCTTAGTGTGAAGCCGTCTCCACCTGGCTCCTCGCTGGTCGGGCTACACCAGCACTGCTTTTACTTCCCGGGCTCCTGCTCGCGGTGACGTCACCGGGCCTTTATGCTTCTGCTCTCGGGGAAGAGGTCCGTGACTGTGTAAATACACTTTATTTTCCATCTTTCCCTCCTGGGCGACATGTGGAGTGTGAACAGGCAGTGTGCAAAATGGTGGTGGGCAGTGTGGGGGGCACATGGGGGGAGCCCCGCAGGTGCCCACCATGGTCCCCAGGCTTTGTAACACTGAAGAGTGGGCAACCAGGAAAGGGGACGGAGCAAGGCCCCCCTCCAGGAAGCGCTGGGGAGACTGCTTCTGACCCTACGCTCACAGGCTCCAAGAGCACCGAGAGAGTGGGGCACGAGGCCTCAGGGAGGAAGGGGGAAGGGGCCTGGGGACACTGCTGGACTTTGGCACCGTCCTCAGCTCTGGCTGGCAGGGACCCCGGGGGGCCACCACCGGGGGGCAAGGGGAGGTGGCTCTGCTGGAACGCTCCACCCCTGGGGCAGGGCCTGGCTAAGGGGCCCTGGGCCCCAGGGAAGGAGGGCGCGGGTGGAGGCTGGCACCCGCGCAGAAGAGGGGGCTCTTCAGTCGCTGGCCGGGACAGGGACTGTGTCTCCCCGAGGAAGGTGTGGGGCGCCTGGCGGAGTGATGGTTTCTTCATCCTTTGCTGATGCTCTGGCCTCGGAGAAGCCAGGAGAGCCCACCAGGTCTGAGCTGTCCCTACCGGCCACTCACACCCCAGGTGGCTCTGCACACAGGAGGAGGGGCTTTGGTTTCGGCTGCAGGGGCCAAGGTGCCTGCACCAGGCAGGAAAGCCCAGCTCGGCCATCTGTCCCCGGTGGCCAGGGGTCACTGTGTTCAGCGGTGTCCTGGGTGCTAATGTCCCGCCCAGAGCTACCTCTCTTTCCTCAGACCTCTAGCTCCTGGGCCCTTCCCGGCAGGGCCGTCCTGGGGTCAGAAGGAAGCGAGCTGGGGGTGGCGCTTCCTGCTCACTCAATCCCGGGACCTCTGTGTTGGGTGCTCCCTGCCCTCGCTGTTGGGGGTGCAGCCCCGCCGGCCACTGGCCCGGGGTGCCCTGGACCGCAGGGGTGGCCAGGGGGGTCGGGCCAGGGTGGGTAAACACTGCTGGCAGGGAGAGCCTGCGCGGCCCTCTCCTCTGCTCGCTGCCTCTGCTACAGCTCGCCGGCCTGGCCCTGGGGCGGGTGGAGCCACAGAGGCTTGGAGTTCAGGAAATGCGGCCGGGGGAGCGGCTCCCGGCGCGCCGGCCTCGGCCTCAGTTGTCCAGGCCCTGGCTGTAGGGCGCGGCCAGCTCGTCTGCGTCACTGTCTGAGCTGCCCTCGCTGTCCTTGGCCGGCCGCTCCAGATGGCGGAAGAAGCGCGCGTCGCGCGGCGACAGAGGGTACAGCGCGTCCTGCAGGGCTGCGCCCACGCCCACGCCGAGCAGCTCCTCGTCGGAGGACGGCAGCGAGTCCTCATCCAGGTGTCGCGTCAGGCTCAGCCCGTCGAAAGCCAGCGGGTCCTCGAAGGGCGGCGGGCCCTTCAGCAGCCGCACCTGGGCGGGACCCGCGTGCTGGAGGCGTGGACTGCGCACCCCACCCACGCGAGAGTCGGGCGGGTACCCCTCCTCGCCCTCCCGGGTGCCGCCCACATTCCCTCCAGCAGCCCGCACTCACCTCGGCCTTTAGCTCCTCGATCTGGTCCTTGAGCTCGCGGATGTACTGCGACGAGTCCGAGTGGTTCAGCTGGCCCTGGATGCGGCCCTCCTCCCTCTGCGGGGCGGGGCGGCCCCCGCGGTCAGCGAGGGCGGCGTCCCGGGACCCCGCGCCTGCGCCCACCCCGGCCCGGCCCCAGCCCCGCCGCACACCTGGATCTCCAGCTCCGCGATGCGCTGCCGCATCTCGGCCACCGCGGCCATGCTGTCCGCCTCGCGCAGGCGCACAGCCATCACCTCCTCCTTGCTCTGGGGGTGGGGACAGAGGGCGGGTCAGCGTGGCCCCGGGGGCGAGTCCGCGCGGGCGCGGGGCGGGGCCGCACCTTGCACTCGGCCTCAGCCTGCTTGCGGCGGCTCTCGCTGAGCTGCGTCTGCAGCCCCTTGTTCTGCGCGGCCAGGTACTGCAGCTTCTCCTGCAGCGCCGCGCGCTCCGCCTCCACGCGGTTCAGCAGGTTGCGGTGGATGTGGTCCTGGGACGGAAGGAGAGCGGACCCGCGGGGTCACGGCCCGGCCAGGCGCGCCTCCAGCGCCGGGCCGTTCTCCCCGACGGGCGCCCGCGCCGGGCTCACCTGCGTCTCCAGCTCCACCACGCGCTGCCGCAGCTCGCGGCCCTCGGCCAGCGCCTGGGCCTCGCGCAGACGCACGCTCATGAGCTCGTCCTGCAGCTCGCCCAGCACCAGCTTCCGCGGAGACTCCTTCCAGCGGCCGCCGCGGGACAGATGGGCCTGGGGAGCGTGGAGGCCGGCGTCAGCCTCAGCCGAGGAGCCCGAGGCGTGCCCAGCGCCCAGCCGCCCTCACCTGCCAGGCATCGGACAGCTCCTGCAGCTGCAGTTTCAGCTCCCGGGCCGAGGCCACGGCCTCGCCCTCCCGCACCTTGAGCGCCTTCAGCTCCTCCTGCAGCCGCGCCACGTTGTTCTCGTCGGGCAGTGAGCTGTTCCTCTGTGGGGAGAGAGGCGGTCAGGGCGCTGGGAGCTGCTCGGCCGGCTGCACGGCTGTCCGCAGGATGGACACCCCAACCCCTTTCCTCTGCACTCCCCTGGGGACCACAGGAGGCCCAGGGAACAGGGCCCAGGCCCCGACAGACCTGTGCCACCAAGCTGGGGACCTTCCTCACCCAGTGAAATGGGGGCAGGGCTCACACTGCTGGCCTACAGCAAGCCCACGCGTGGTGGGGCCCCGTGGACGTGCGTGTCAATAACCCCGGCAGGCGCCGGCTCGGCGGGGAGTCAGACCCATCACCCTCTCATGGACCTACTGGGCCTGCGACCACACCGGGCATCTGCCCTAGCAGGGGCTGAGTTCCCGCAGGTCAGGCCGGGCCAGGTGGCCCTTCTTCCCCAGCTCGAGGGCCAGCCTGTGTCCTGTGCCGGTGGCCCCCAGCTCAGGGGTGGGGGTTTTCTCCTCTAGCAGCTCTCTGACCCTTGCTGGGTGCAGGCACGGGAGGTGGGCGGGCAGCAGGACCTAGAAGGTGCACGGTTCAGCCTCTGGAGGCAGCGGTGGGGCAGCATCCCGGCTCGGCAGGTGAGGCGGGCAGTGGGGGGGGCCGACATGGCTGGCTGGTTTTCAGAGCGCAGGCTCAGCGGGTGGCCCGGGCCCTGTGTGGTGTGGCAGTGCGTCCTGGGGCTCCCCCGGCCTCTGGCAGCTCCATGGAAGAGTCTCCATGGGAGACTCAGGAGGGCTGTGCCCCGCCCCCAGGCTGCAGGCAGGAGAGGGTGGGTGCCAGTCGGTCCCCGAATGGTGTTTCCATGGGAGTGGGAACCCCTGGTGGCCTGAGCCTTCCTTTCCTGTCCTCCAGTTCCTCCATCCGGGAGCAGGAGAGGGGTGAGATACGCACACAGCACCCTGGGGTGTCGGGGAGGCTCAGGAAAGTCGCCACGCTGCTGTGCCCTGCTTCGTCCCCGAGGTGCGAGGCTGGCTGTGCCTCGGGGTTGTGTGATGCTGTGGAGGCTGCAGGGGAGGCCGGTGCCCAGCCAGGGAGGTGCCCTGGGCTCAGAGCAGCCGGCGAGGGCACTTCCTCCATAGCGACTGGCCGCCCTTCCTTCTGCACCCCCAGAGCTTACTAAGAACCCCCTCTCCTGGCTGGTCCCCCAGCCCCCGCCCAGCTGCACCTTTTCCATGTCCAGAACCTTGTCTTGCATCTCCCGCAGGGCCCCCAGCGTCTCTGTCTCCCGAAGCCTGGACTGCTCCAGCTCCGTCTCCAGGTGGGACACGAAGTCCTCGGTGAGGCGCGGGTTCTCCTGGGGAGGCAGAGGGCTGTGTGGGGCCTTGAGAGGTGGTGTGCCCAGGCCTTGGCCCCCCACAGAGCCCCTGAGCAGCGAGAGGGACATGGGTGTGGGCACCCTGGGCTAAGCCCCCACGCTGCATGCCTAGGTGTCCTCTCCTGGGGCGGCCCAAGTGTCCAAGCCACTTTCCTAGGAAGGCTGCATGGAGGGGACCATGCCCTCAGGATGCCCTCTGAGGGGCCGGTCACTGCGTGGTTTCTCAGGATCACACGGTGGGGGTGGCAGGACAGGCTGGGGTTCAGCTCTGGTTCCTGCCTTCCCTCCTCTGCTTGCCCCTTCCTGCTCCATTTTAAAGCATGACAGATGGGGACAGTTTGCTTTGGGAGGCCTGGCTGTACCTGGTGGGATACATGGGCTCTGGGGTAGGAGCGGTGGTCCCTCTTCTGCCGTTGGCCTCCCCGGGCAGGGCAGATCCCCGGGGGATACCTCTAACCTCATCTAGCAGGCACCCCCTTCCTCAGTGAGGACCTCCTGCTTCGCGCCCTGGACCACTGAGGTGCTCTGGAGCCCTCCCTCAGCCCAGAGCACCTCCCTCGCACCAGGTGTGGTGCGGGGCCCCTGCTGGGCTGGGCCTTCTCCAGCACCTCCCCGCCAGGCCTGAGCAATGGCCTTGGGCCTCAGGCAGAGGGCGGCGCTTGGCGCTGGTACCTGCTGCTCCTGCAGCTGGCGGATGGTGCTCTGCGCCTTCTGCAGGTCCTCAGCGGCCGAGCTGCACTGCTGCCGCACCACGGCCAGCTCCCGCTTGATGACGTAGTTCTCCTCGGCCTCCTGCGCGCGCGTCACCTGGCCCTGAGCACAGTGAGGAAGGGACCGTGACCCCCTGCTTTCATCCCGCGCCCTGCCTTGGGCCACAGAGGAGGCCCAGAGAGGGTGGAAGAGGAGGGAGGCGAGAGCGAGGTCTTCTGCACTCGGAGCCTGGAATGGGGTGCTGCACCGGAGTGTGGGGTGCAGGAGGTGGGGCAGCCAGGAAACCACCCCCCAATTTGTCAGGCTTAGATGGGGGAACACGGACCCCAGCCAGGGCTGCCGACAGCCGCTTTCCTTCCCTGATTCTGGCGCTCAGCCTCTGCCCGGCCAAAGGCACAGCAGAGGCTGCCCGTCCCCTTCCCGCGGGCTCGGCGGGTGAGGGTGGTGTTCCGGGGGGGCCACGGCCCCAGCGGCTCTTCCCAAGGCTGCAAGGGGGAATACAAATCTTCTTGGGGGCCTGTACCTGTGGGACACCGAGATCCCAGCCACCCCCCCCCCCCGCGAGGTCCCAACCACTTTGGGCCCCCATTCCAGGCTTGGAGCCACCAGGGCTTAGAAGCGTCAAGATGAAGCCATTCAAGATGAAAGGCACAGAAGCAGGTGAGAGAAGGTGGCGGGCTTGGCAGCGGACGCAGAGGGGGAGCAAAAGGGGCCAGAGGGTGCGTGTGCGCGTGCGCATGCGCATGTGTGTGTCAGGGCTAAGCTGGGGCAGTGCACCCATCAGGGCCTGAGGCTGATGCTTGGGGTCCCAAGCCCTCCTGGCTCCCCCACCTGGATCCCCTTGGAGGAAGCTCTCTGTGGGTGAGTTCATGCGGCACCCCTCTCCGTTTGACATGCCTCCTCCCGGGAAAGCCTGCACCTCCCCGGAAGAAGCGCAGGTAGCCCCCATGCACGACACGATGTCAGGCCTGCCCTTCTTCGCCCCTTGAATGGCAGCGGCCAGGGAAGAGGTGGTTACTGGCTGTCATGTGCGGGGACCAGGGAAGGGGCCAGGAAGGAAGGAAATCGGAGAGGGAGACAAAAAGCTACAGTACCTGGATTAACCTATCAGCCAGAGCAGCGCTCTCCTACCGGGCGGGCGGGCGCGGGCGAAGGGGGTTCCGAGCAACAGGGGGAGGAGGCAGAGCGGAAGGCGCGGACAGGAGAGGGGAGAGACAGACAAGAACCACTTGTCACTAGTGCAGTGGACTATCTCTAGAAGCAGGGGAGAGAGGAGTGAAGACCACAGAACCAGCAGGAGAGGACCCGGAGGAAGACCAAAGCCAGAGCCAGCTCTATCCTGGAGAGGGGTTCGCAGGGCGGTCAGGTGGCTGCAGGGCTGGGGCCAGCTGGGAAGACTCAGCTCTGTGAATGTCCGCCTCACTGGGTTTTTCGTTTGTTTGTTTTGAGACAGGGTCTCGCTCCGTAGTTCAGGCTGGTCCTGAACTCACTATGTAGCCCAGGCTGGCCTTGAACTCATAGTGATTCTCCTGCCTCAGCTTCCCGAGTGCTGGGATTACAGGTGTGCACCATCACACCTGGCCTTTTTTTTGGAGACAGGATCTCACTATGTAGCCCAGGCTGGCCTTGAACTCGCGGAGATCCTCCTGCCTCAGCCTCCTGAGTGCTGGGATCACAGGTGTGCACCACCATGCCTGGCTATGTCAGCCTCATTGTGAGGAGGAGCGTCTAGAGAGGTCTGGGATGGGGAATATGTTTCAATGAGGAGCAAGAGTCGAGCTTTTGGGACAAGGGCAGTAAAGTCTTCCCACGACCCACTCATTTCTTGTGGCCGGCGGGGGGAGCAGAAAGTGGGAATCCTGGGGCTGCGCCTGGGGAAGTCACCAGTTCCACCCGCTTCTTTCACAGTGTGGGGCCCGGGCCTGGTGTTAGTAGTCTAGAGTTGTAACTCGGCTCCAAACCCGGGTTAATCACATTGCCAGTGAGGGCTGGGGGAGCGGTCTACCCAGCGCCTGAGACTGCTCACCCCAAACCTCAGCGGGGCCTCCGAGGGTTCACAGAACTTAAACTGTGCTTCTCAGAGCCTGCTGGTTCAGGACAGGGCCTGGATGTGGGCCTGGCAGAGAGGCCCGAGGGACCCAGGCCCCTGGCTAGTGTCCCCAGTGCTCACCTTCTCTAGGGTCTCGATCCGCTGTTTCAGGAGCCGGTTCTCAGTCCGAAGCCTCTGTGGGGGGAGGGAGACATGTCAGGGCCCACCACCATTCTCGCGCACACACACCCCTCATGCACTCACCACCGAGGCCGGAGGGGGGCGCCCTACGGGGCGAGTCCACTTTCGGGCAGGACAGAGCCTAGGTCTTGAGTTCTGGGTCAGTAATGGCAGAAGCAGGGCCCATTCCTGTTCAGAGCTGCCCGTTAAAGAAAATGTGGTACTGTATTTGTACACAATGGAGCACTACTCTGCCATAAAGAAGGATACATTTGAGTCATTTGTAGGAAAACAGATGCACCTTGAGACCATCATGTTAAGTAAAATAAATTAGACACACAGGCTTAAACAGTGCATGGTTTCTCTTCTATGAGAAACCCAAATTATAAATGAAGAGCAAAATAAAAGAAAAAGATAATAGGAAGTAGGAGACAGATCTTTTGCAAAAGGGACAGGAACCAAGAGATGGAGGAAGCAGGGAGGGAAGGAGATAATTCAGACGTGTTATTAAGTACATGGACCAACTCCCCACGAGGAGTGTAATCATGTTCTACAAACATGTGCTTCTAAGAAATTTTAAAAATTTAAAAAACTTAAAAAAGAAAATCATTGCCAGGCACAGTGGTGCACACCCTCAATCTCCTCGGCACTCTGGGAGGCTGAGGCAGGAAGATCTCAAGTTTGAGGCCAGTCTGGGCAACTCAGTGAGACCTTGTCTCAAAAATAAAAAATTAAAAGGGCTGGGGATGTAGCTCAGTGCCAAGGGCCTCAGTGCGAAGGGGTTCAATTGGCGGTACCACACAAAAAAACAAAGCAAACAATTTAGTAAAGCCAATGAGAGCCTCTGCCGCCGCAGCCCCCTCAGAAGTCTGCTACCAGCCTGTGCTCGTGTCTGTGGAGGGCAAAGGCCGCTGTGTTTTGGAAAAGCTGCTGTTAGGCAGCCGGGCCCTCCTCGTGTGGCCTCGGCCTGTGGGTTCGAGTCTCCTGCAGGAACTGCACTCTGAATTTGGGTCCTGCGTGCTGAACACAGGCTTCGTCTCCACGACTACACATGTGTGACTTTATGGAGACCTCTTTGCCTTTGCCCTCTGCCTGGAGGTAAGGGATGTTGGGCGGGTGTTTGCAGTTTTAGGGAAGCAGAGGACATTTACTGCGCCTGGGGCCTGCTCTCTCCTGCACCCTGGTGGTGGAGACGGGTCTTGCCCCTGGGCCAAGAAGAACATTTCCTGTGTTGCTTGTCGGAAGAACAGGTGAAATATTTTCAGAAAGCGGCAGCAGCCAGCGAATCATCCTGGCCACTGACTGACATCATGGGGGGAAACCGAGTCAGACTAGGGCAGGGTCCTGCCACAGCCTCCCAGCACGGACAGGGCAGGCACAGACAGGGGCCTCTGACCCCTGACCTCTGAACCCTGACCCGTGGGTTGCTCTGCACTCTCTGGCCTCAACCCAGCCCATCAAGGCACCAAGCAGATGTGGTTGGAGGGCTTGGGCAGGCCTGGCCAGGAGGTCCTCTTTCCTACTTACCCCAAAAGCGGGGCGGGGGGAAGAGCGAGCATGAAGCTATACACTAATGGTGGATTTTGTTTTTCTGTAGACATTGCTCGTTTCATGACCCACCTGTTTAACGACTGTTTGGACTTACAACCCGCTGCTTGGACTTCTGACCTGTCATTTTTTTGTTCGGTTCCTTACACCTTGTTTATAGACAGTGCACCTTGTTCATACAGTGCCGTGAGTTTTGCTGACGGCACTGTCCGGAGCAGCACTGTCGTTTTGCTCTGTGATACATCACAGAACTGCACGGAAGGGTTCTGCAAATAAAAGCGACGCCATCACGTGGGCGCCTCCTTTGGCCGTGTCTTTGTGCTGAATATTGTAACGCACGTAATGTATACAGTTCCTCCATTATTGACCTAGTCGCAGGATCGGAACTCGGTCATTAAATGGGGAATGGCTGCCTGTGCGTTACGACGTGTGGACATTCCGGACCTCTCCCACTCCGGACGAGTTCCTTCCTAGAGAGTAGCATGTGCCTTCCCTGTACCAAGAATCAGCCCAGAGCCCAAATCTCAACCCAAATCTCGGGCCATTGTTCCCCCGCCGGGAACCGCCCCAGGGCCCATGCTGGACGACAGCACGTCTCCCTGCGGACCACGCTGCAGAAATCACTCCCTGTCGCTGTCCCCGTGGGGTGCGGAGCCCGCTCAGACCTGCCTGCCCACTCCGATAGCTCCTGCTCGTGGACACTGCAGCACGGCCCCCAACACGCGCTGCCCTTCGCTCTCTGCTTCCTCCTGTCTGACTGTGGCTCGGCCTGGGTGGCCCCTGCCTGGGCTGGCTGCCCCTCCTCTTGGGAACGGTGAGTAATAAACTCTTCTTTCCAAGGCGCCTCTGTGCCTGTCGTCATGCCGTACCTGATTAACACAAGTCTCTGGGACACTGCAAAGCAGGCTAGCGGTAGAAGACTGGTAGGCAGGGCCGCGTGAGAGGCCTCTGTCTGGTCACTTAAGGCCCTTAGGGCTCTCAAGTTCCTCGGAGGGCAAATGTGCAGGCTGGCACATGCCCTGGGGTCTGCCGCGTCTTTGCCCTCGCTGGGCCTCACAGTACCGGAGAGAGCCCGTCCTTGTCTGTATCGAAACAACAGAAACACAGGTGTCCGGGCCGGGGCCTGAGGCCAGCTGCTGTTCGTGAGAAATGGGGCTGCTCAAAACCCCAGAGTACTAAGCGATTTCTGGAAAAGCTCCTAACAGGGCCTGGCGGCAGCGGGCTCCCCACCAGGCACGGGTGGCGGTGACCTGGACTCCACCCAGGCTCGGCCCCTGCCTTCCTACAGGGGCTGGGGGCAACACGGACAGCAGGGGGGAGGGTCATTCCAACAGCACAGCAGATGCCCCGTTTTGTGGACAGAGCCAACCGAGGCTCGGAGAGGCGAGTTCACCTGCCAGGGTCCTCGTGAGCTCTAGCCTGTGGTACTCCGATCTCAGCCACCCTGTGACCCAGGTCCGAAAGAGGACAGAGCCAGTCTGTGTGGTGGTTTTTGTCTCTGTCATCCCCTGCACTGGGCCAGGGACCCTCATTCCTAGCTGTGACCTTGGCATAAGCAGGTACTCAATGAATACTTGTAGCCAGCCTTGCTGGCACACTCCTGTAATTCTACCACTGCAGAAACTGAGGCAGGAGGATCGCCAGGAGTTCACGGCCAGCCTGGGCTACACGAGACCCACATAAATAAATACATGCTTGTTGAATGACTAGTAGAAATGGTGTAGGAGGGTGAAATGGAAGGAGAGGAGGGGAGCTGGGCTCAGGGAGCCCGATCCTGGCCGGGCTGGCGGATGGGACATGGGACATCAGGGCCACCTGGTGCCTGCCCGCCTGGCTCTCGCCGCGCACCCTGCCGCCAGACCTCGGGCCGTCCCCTGCCAGGCCCTCGAGCCCCTGCGCTGCAGTGCCCCTGGCGGAGTTCCCGGCGCCCACTGGGCTTTCCGCCCTGGCTCCCTGGGCCTGGCTTCCCGCTGCCCGCCTCTCCCCTGCTCTGGCGCTCAGACCACTCTGCAGAGCCCACGCCATTTGAGTGGTTTATTACGTGTCTCAGGCGGCCCCGGGCCCACGAGGGCAGGACCTCGACTGTCTCGTTAGGGCTGCGGCATCGCCAGGGCAGAGGATGCGCCGGCGAGGGCGGGGGCTCCCGGCGCGCGGGCCTGGCGGGGCGAGGAGCCGGGCGGCCTTCAGAGCCCGCGCCGGGCCGCACCGCCCTCTAGCGGCCAGCTCTGGCGCTGCCCTCGAGGGCCCGGCCGCTCCCGACTCCCTCCCGGGCGGGACTCACTTTGATCTCGATCTGCTCCTCCATCTCCTTGCTCTTCATGGCCGCGTACTCCTTCTCCAGCCTGCGGGAGGGGCGCATGTGACCCCCGTGGCGGCTGCGCAGGCGCGTCCCCCCCGCGGCCCGCGGCGCCCGCACTGACCTCTTCATCTTCTTGGGGTTGTACTTGACCTGGTACGCCCTGAGCACCAGCTTGTCCGGGCAGCTGTCGAACTGGTGGGGGATCACCCTCTGGAAGTACTGCGGGGACACAGGGCTCACCTCCGTGCGCTGCGGCCGACCGGGGTCGGGCAGCGGCGTCCCCACAGGGCCTGGCCATCGCTCGGCGGCGCTGGTGGCGTGAATGAGCGCTGCAGCGACGGAGCGTGTGCGTGTGTGTGTGGCGGTTTGGCCTCTCCCTGCTGCCCAAGGCCGGGGCTCTAGCATGCAAGGGCGAAGGCGGGAAGGAAGCGGTGGGCGTGCCGGCCCCTCAAGCCTCCTCAAGGGTTAAGGGGAGCCGCAGATGCAGCCTGCCCGCACCCCAGCCCTGCTGCCCCCGCCCGCAGTGGCGGACAATGGACGCCCGTGTTCACGGACACAGCCGTGGCTTTGTGCTTTGTTCCCCGGCACACCAGCTGGAGGCTGCTGGAGGGGGCAGGGCCTGCATGCTGGGGACCTGGTGCTGAGAGGGAGGCTGGTCCCCAGGGCCTGCAGGCGGGCAGGGCAGGGCAGGGCCTGGCCAGGGTGCTGGGGTTGAAATCACATCCGGGTCAGATGGGGCTGCTCCACCAGCAGGCTCTGGGGACACGGGGCAGAGGC